AAACTAATCAGACTTGTTCAGATTTTTCTGCTCATCCGATTCATGTGTAACTCGGATTTTCAAAACAGGAAGCAGAACAAGAAAAAATTAAAATATGATAAAAGTCTACTGTTTCGATTTTTTTCTGAGGCTTTTTGTATAAAATCGGTAACTCACTCATTTTTAGGCTCTAAGGTTTAAAAACTTGGGTTTTATGGGTAATTTTGAACGCTTTATCTAATGAGATCATAAAAAATCGTTTTAATATTGAATTCTTCGGAAGATTCGCAGTCATATATTTTAAGAGCAGGAGCGGCAGATATATTAGAATATTATTTGTATTGATATGTGTAATTAGCCATTTAAAATAAAAATCTTTTTACATAATTTGTGTAGAAATAGAAGAAATTCGTCTCTGGTATAAAACTTTTTGGAAATTTCAGGTATTTCAGGTTTTTGGGCCAGAAGTAAGATGGTTTTCAGGTTTTCCCAAACATTTCAGGTTTTTCAGGTGAAATCTCACCCCTGCACCCGACCGAACCGAAAAATGTGGGAAGATAAGCAATGACATCGGCCCTGAATATTTCGAAGAAAGAAATAGACGACTATAATCAGAAATGAACTCTGGACAAAACGGCACTTTTAGTTTTCGGAAAATTTCTAGTCTCTGTGACTCCTTTGAAAAATCCAAAATTTCATATACTCAGCTTTTTCTCAGACATACACCAGTTGATGCAAAATTTCATGCTGATCACGAAGATCAACCTCATTTTGAAAAAGAACGCGATTTGAGTGCTAAAAAAGTGTTTGTTCGATGCTGTCGGATTTACTTCGAGGGGATTGGCTTATATATTCAAGCAGAATTCATTCGAAACATTCCGAAGCTCTCAAATAACTGGCATGTTAACATGCCATTCCATAGAGCTCGTCAGGCTCTATCTGGCACAGCTTTCATAACAAAAAATGCCCAAAATACAAGATTTTAGGTTTTTGTCTCATTGAAAAAATTCGCATTTGCAGTTTAAAACTTAACGAAACCACATTTTTTAAAACTACTTTCGCCATCCAATAGAGCTCATCGAGTTCTCTCTAGCCCACTCAACAGCAAAATTCGCATCTCGTTAATAAAAATATTCGCCGAAAATAGAACAAACATTTTTCTACAAAACGAGACGTTCCGCAGCTCTGAGTTAATCTTGATATCCGATGTAGCAATTCTTCCGGACACCCCAACACCATTTTTCGGTACTTGTCTATTTTTATGTTTTCTTTAACAGTACTATAACAACTGAACAAGACTTGGCAATTGTTACTGATACAAAGCTATTCTCATTGATGAAATAAGATAACTCTACACTTGGAAGCAGTAAACTAGTACTTTTATGGGAAAGAGAAATCGAACTCTATAGAATAACATCGAATTAGTTTTGTAAAATCTGATTGAATTGCTGAACCGTTATTTAAGGAGTGTGCATTAAAGTGTACCGTTTTACATGAATAGTTTCAAACATCTGTTGTAGGTAAAATTAGATTCCAGTCACATCTTCCCAGCAACACATAGTTGACGTTTATGGGACCATGTTTGAATGGAATCACTTGCAAGTCACAAAGGCTCCTTTGTGGGTCAAACCTTTGTGGGTCACAGTGACTATATCAAAATAAACTTCTTTGAAAATGAAAAGAAATAAGAATCATCCAATAACGTCGGCAAGAAAGTGTATGTATACACGAGGAACGAAAAAAAGATGGCCGCTCGATTCAGAGTAAAAGAATAAAAAACAAGAAAGACAACAGAAGATAGCTAATAGTCTATAGGTCAGCATACAAGGAGTCACAGTCATTTATTCACTCATCTTATATATTTGATCGATCAATACTGGCGAGCAAGCTGACTTTCTTCTTCCGTCCGTGATAGATACACCGTGTATGATTAATGATAGCTTTCCTTTAGATGGAAAAAAGAGTGACACAGAATGGACGGCTGAACTTTTCTGTACAATAAAACTGTGATATATATATACAACGGCAATTCTTGATTTTAAATCACAATAATTCTTAATTTCTTAGATATACTATTTTCGTCATTTCTAGTACAACTAAGTCGCCGTTCCGGTATTTTATACAGAGAAAGTAAGTAAACCATTTATTTTCGTATTCTATAAAAAAATTAAAAACCTTCTGAGAACAAAAACAGTCCAAAGTACCACACTGTTTAGTTTATTTTGACTCCCTTTTTATGGAATAAAAGTATCATTATTGCATAAAAAGTTGAGTTAAGACGCGTGTTTTTGATTAAAAATTGTCAGAAGCACCTAAACACGGCGTGCTGCGACGCGTTTAAGAAAATTCCAGGTATTCGAATTCTCGGAAACCCTGGAAGGGAATCCGGCAAGAATGTTACTTAAAACTATTTTGATTTTCGAGGTTACTCTTTTTTTAGAGTGTGTCATGCATCGCTCAGCCAAGACAAGATACTCTGCTATTGTATTTCTATTGTTCATTGGCTTACTTTTGGATCAAAACGTGGTTGTGCAGGCGTGTTCAGTAATCCGGATGAGCCCACCCGAAGAACTGGTCGCGAAAGCTGATGTGATTGTCCGTGCAAATGCTGCCAGCTACGAGAAAGAGCCAGCGGAAGCAGGATACTCGACTGGATTTCCAACTTCGATAGTTAAGTTCGAAGTAAAAGAAACGCTCAAAGGCAAGAATATAGCTGTCGAACCGCTTTTGATATTCGGATATTTGAACAACGATGACGATTATAACGATCATCCGTCGCCTTACACATTCGTTCGACGAAATGGTCGCGGCGGCAGTTGCTTTGCTAGTACATACAAAAAAGGTGCTGATTTTTTATTGTTCTTGGCACGAAAGGAGAGTGGCGAATTGACGCCGTATTGGAGCGCATTAGCTCCTGTCAATGAACAGCTTCGACCAGTCAACGATGAATGGCTGCGATGGGTCAAGAACCAGTTGGGTGCGCTACGTAAATAACGTTAAACTTTTCCATGTATAGGCAAGACATGAAGTGTTAAAACGACAATTGTAAAAACCAGTTCATTTTGGATCTTTTTCTGTAGCCTTCTTCATTAAATAGATGCCCATGATGTAAAGCGACTTTCAACTTGGAATGTCCAGTGGACCGTACGAGACATGCTTTCACATGTCTTCAATCTCTCTCGATCCACCATAGCAAAAATACGCAGGAAACACTACTGTCGTTTTCCAAAAAACTAAAAAATACTTACCCGGTTTGTATTTATTGACTTTCTTGAATGCTGTTTCATGGGAAAAGCTCTTCGGGAGCTCGGAAACGTCTCATTCGGCCCGAAATCTTTGCACTATTCGAATAAACTAATGGTATAAAGTTCAATGATACTTGTACACAAGAAGTCAATAAATACACAGGGTGCAAGTTTTTTTTGGATCAATCTGTATTCATCGATCGACCCAAGGAAAACCTGCCCAGCAAAAATATCTAGATGCATTCGCTGGTGCATCTAGATAAATGAGTTAAAAAATCTAGTTGTCTAGATGCATCGGGTAAAAGCGATGCACTAGATGCAAGAGGCGATGCATCGCGTACCAATATAGGAATATTGAAACGATAAAAAAGGCGGATGTAGCGCGATGCATTAACAGTGCATCGCCTTTTGCAGCGGTTTTTTATCCGTCCAAATGCTTTAAAATAAAAACGCTAAGTCGCTAAGGCTTCGTATTTTCAGAACTGATTGAAAACTGTTCAAGTTTTCAAATATTGCCGTTCACCAGTTTTGCAGAAAAACTCGGTTTTTCATTGTGCCACATTCCTACCCTCTTAAAATTTCATTCGATCGAGTTCAAAATTTTACTAGAGGTACGCAGGGTCTTTCAGCAGAAGTAATTTTTCGGAAATGTTTTTGGGACCTTTCCTGGTCGAGTTATAGCAAAAATACTGAAAAACGTTTAAAAAACCAAGCTTTTTAATTTTAGAAACCCTATTAATCGGTAAAGAAAAGTCCAAAATAAAATTTCCAAAAATTTCCTGTATAATAGTGTCTTGCGTAGCTCTGGTAAAACTTTGAACTCGATGGGATGAAATTTAAGGGGACTCGTAATGTGGCACAATGTAGTGTGCACAGTGGCCAACTTTTGCTAGAGCAGGCGGACAGTGAAGTGAGACCTTGATTTTGAAACTTGACCTTGAAACTTTACAATATCCTAAGGTTTTCCAAAAGGGCTTCTGGAAAACCTTTTAACAAAAATATGCTTTTCTGATTTTTTGTATCTTATAATCACGTTTAATAATAATAATAATAATAATAATAATTGTCCTTTTTCTTCATCGGATTGAAGTTAGGGACGAGAGAGTTAAACGCCATTCGATCTTATTTTTTGATTTCCTTTCCCACTGTCCAACTGGTATCTG